CATAATATTGGGGATCTCTGTGCTTTTAATTGTATCGTGCGTGTGCCAATGTTGTTCATGTGATGGTGAGGAACTTTTGCCAACTGTTCCTGAAAACCCAGCGAATATTACTGAGAACCCTGTAGCTCATAGAACACAGCTTGAACAAGATTCTATCAGATCAAATTCAGCATCAACTCAACCACGAGGAAATCCAAACAGAGTTGCTCATTTTAATTTGACGACCCCTGGAGACGAAACGACAGAAACAACCGGAGTTATTATAACGTCGGGACCCCCCAGGTATCCGTACAGTGCCGCTGAGGTGGCGTCATGGGAGTCACCAGATATATCACCTCCACAAGATGCTCTTCCCCCTTCTTATGATGACCTTTTTAAGTCTTGAAATTGTAAGACGTTAGAGTTTGGAAATCTTGTTTAAATCTTGAAACTGTTTGAGATTTTAAATCAGTGCTTTCAAATGTTTTACTTGAGATCAATGTGAATGGAGAAGATGGAGAAGAAGAGAGAATAGAGCGCTAACACGACAACAGAACCGATCTGAATGGCAGCGAGAATTTTTTTAAATATGTTCTATAATTATTACTACTACTAGAGTTCACATTTTCTGATAAAATATTTTTACAAAATCTGATGACTATTTCAACTCCTCTTGGAAACATTGGACCATCTTCTTAGAACATTGGACTATCAATATTATTTATACCTCATTTTTTTCTAACAAATGTGGACGATTAAAACTATGTTTTGCTCACCTCCACTGCTCTGCATTCCATTGTTTTTATATACTATGTACTATATCTTATATCGTTTTATAGATTCGAGTGACCATCATTTTTAGCCCAGGATCTCTACTATAATTCAAAAGATTCTTTCTGTAGGATGTACGACCGCCCACGTGCAAATCAGACGAGAAATAGGAAGTTGCGTAGTTACCATAGTAACGAGGATTGTTACACGCACGTGCACGTGCAATGATTGTTTTAACGTCATTTTAATCGGTTTTGTTGATATTACGCTGTGTTTAGTACGAGCAACATTTTATTTGGCTGTATCTTCGGTGGGGATGAATACTTTTTGACACGATTAAAACTGACTTCCAAACAATACTATTAGGTTCCTCCCTGTGACCACGGGTTTTCTAGTTTATTTATAAAATATTGTCAAAAAATAATTGAGGTCACTAAGTATCGTACATAACAAGTGACGCGGTGTTTCTGTAATACCAAATTTGATGAAAATAATTATTCGATACTGCCATGTTTTAAAATACTGTCAAATATTTTAATTCCAGTTTGGTGGGTTCATCAGAAGGATTAAGGAATAAGGATACGTCTGAAACAATGACCGAAGACCAACAAATTCTGTGAAGTTGGAGATCAAACAAATAAAAATGCATCAATGCTATATATTTTGGACAAATTATTTCAAAGTCAGACTGAATACAACTTTGTTAATAAAATATAAGCTTAACCAGATTTAAATAATATTATATAACATCAACTGAATTCTTAACCAAAATTGTTAGTTTATTGTACCGGCGGCCTGCCAACCAGTATAGTTATTAGTTAATCAAGATTCTAAAATCCATCATTCATAAAATATTATCAATCAAACAAATTTATTCCTAAGTTTAAAGACTCATTTTGATAAACCGAACCTAAGCAGCTCTCTTTTTTCAATACTAGTTTCAAAAACAAAAATAAAAATACTGCCCTTGCAGTATTTGCTCAATTTTGACTAAATATACAAGTATAAAGAGGCTAATTTCTAAAATAAGCAAAGGAAATTTGTAAAATTTCTGGTTTTAGATTTTAAAAATATTTTAGTCAGATCTTTTTGATCATGAAAAAGCAACTATTTAAAAAATATTTCTGTGCCATATCTCACATTGCGATAGCTTGGACGAAAACTTGAACGGCGAAAGATCAATTTAGAAATCCAATCGCGTCGGTCCTCGACAATGAGTGCAATTTATTAATTTAATCTATTACATACTTTATATCATGAAATCAATCAATTAATAAATAAATTAAACTAATACTCATAAAAACTGTTGATTTTCCCCGATACTACATTGAAAACTGGTCCGTTACATCTAACAAACCAATTTCTTTATATCACTTTACTCGGCAAACCAGTAAAGTGGAGCTGAACACGATAATTTGGACAACAGCCAACAATCTGGCTCGTTACATAACAACAACACAATATAACACACTTAAACACTAAACAAGACTAAAGATTCACATTATTATTACATTTGTTTGTAATTGTATTACTATTACTATATCTGTCATCCTAATTCCTATCAGTTTTATAACCTTGGTATCAGCTTTTGTCTATTATTTCTCGTTCTTAGACTGAATTTTACAATCGTAATTCGTAATTGCTCATTTTAATGCTCAAAATATCAAATAGATATCTTTTTCAGTACATGTTTGACCTATATTTGTGTTAGAGCTACAAGGTTTGACCTATATTTGTGTTAGAGCTACAAGGTATGACCTATATTTGTGTTAGAGCTACAAGGTATGAACTATATTTGTGTTAGAGCTAAAAGGTATGAACTATATTTGTGCTAGAGCTACAAGAACCAAGTCGTTTCAATTTTAATCGCTCTTCCTAGAATACAGATTCTACAACAATTTCCTCGTTTAATTTAGAGGCCTGGTGTAGCTTCAATGAGATGAGTATAGTGGAGACTACCTCCCGTTACATGATGTGTGTTAGTAAGTAAAATATAATATTAAGAAACTAATTTTTCCTATAAGTGGGCTCATGTTACGTTTATGATTGAATGTGCATTTCATTCGATTTCATTTCGTTTATTCGTTGCCAAGCCGACAGTTGTGGTGGTGTTTGAACATCATCTCCCAGAATAAATTAAATTATGAACCACACTCACGCAATAATGAAAAAATCTTATAAAGTCCCACTCCCAGTCGCATAACTGATCTACACTTACACTTTACAGCGGCTACTGTTCTATTTCCCTTTAAGTTTTTTTATATTTTTTATCCGTCAGTAATGACTATTACTATTAGTATTAGTATCACAATTTTGTCATGTGATTAGAATAGTTTTGACGCGATGTTACTACTTCTAGACTCGACTAAATTTTTTCGAAGTAGCGCACGCCGGGCCAGACCATTATGATTAACATTGTCATACGTTGTATGACCCGCCTGTATCGTTGAAACTCTACTATAGTGAAACGACCGTGGGGGTCACGATGTGATACAAAATTAACAATAGTCAAAAAATGTTTACCAGTAATATAAGTATGTATCCGATTTTTTCCGTCGGGGAACAGTCTTATACTATAAGACTGTTCCCCGACGGAAAAAATCGCATAAAGCTGAATTAGGAAGCTCAGTTTTCATTATTTATGTTAAATAAATTTTATTCATGATAAATAAAGAATAATAACATGTAAGACTGGTCTGGTTCCCAGATGTAACTTCTATAAGTTATAGAAGTTACATCTGGGAACCAGACCAGTCTTACATGTTATTATTCTTTATTTATCATGAATAAAATTTATTTAACATAAATAATGAAAACTGAGCTTCCTAATTCAGCTTTATGCGATTTCTTACTCCAAGTAAGTGCCAAGACTATTTTGAAGTATGACCCAACATTGATGTTCATGCTTACGCCGTACTGGCACTACCCAGTGAATCATTAAATAATTTCTGCAATTTGAATTTTGAATTCTCCTTGATCTTATTATATTGATAATGAAAAAAAATTCCTGCATGACCAGCAGCGGATCATAACTAGATATGGCCATGGGTGAAGCAGTTCTCATAATTTTCGGGATCATCTTTATGCTTTTATTCATATCGTGCGTGCGCAAATGTTGTTGTGATGGTGATGAACATTTGCCAACTGTTCCTGAAAACCCAGCAAATGTTACTGAGAACCCTACAGCTCATCGCACACAGCTTGAACAAGATGTGAGACGGGGTCAAAATGTCACGATTAATGAAGCAGCTGTAATTGTTTCACCATCCGCTCCTGCTTTTAACTTGTTATACAGTGCTGAGGTCACATCTATCAGATCAAATTCAGCACCAACTCAACCACCAGGGAATCCAAACAGAGTTGCACCTGATATATCACCTCCACAATATGTTCCACAATATGCTCCTCCCCCTTCTTATGATGAGCTTTTCAAGTCTTGAAATTGTCAGAGTTTTGAATCATCCCTGTTTCATGTTTATATCTTGAAACTGTTTGAGGATTTAAATCAGTGCTTACAAATGTTTTACTTGAGATCAAAGTAAAGATTTAGATAGCGAAGACACAACGCTAACACAACAGAACCGATCGGAAAGCAGAAAGGCAGCGGGAATTTTTTTTAAATATGTTCTCTAATTGTAACTGCTACTAGAGTTGACATTTGCATTTTCTGATAAAGTATTTTTACTAAATCTGATGACTATTTCAACTCCTCTTGGAAACATTGGACCATCTTCTTGGAACATTGGACTATCATTATCAATATTATTTATACCTCATTTTTTTCTAACAAATGTGGACGATTTAAACTATATTTCTCTCACCTCCACTGCTCTGCATTCCATTTTCTTTATATATTATGTACTATATCTTATATCGTTTTATAGATTCGAGTGACCATCATTTTTAGCCCAGGATTTATTTATAAAATATTGTCAAAAAATAATTAAGGTCACCAAGTATCGTACTTAACAAGTGACGCGGTGTTTTACATCAAATTGTCCATCCTAAACACCGCGTTTCGAAGTGGGAATACTTCAACTATTTGAAGATTTAAGGTTAGAAAACTTTCTGATTCTACTTATTGGAGCAAATTTCTGTAATACCCAAATTTGATGAGAATAATTATTCGATACTGCCATGTTTTAAAAGACTGTCAAATATTTTAATTCCAGTTTGGTGGGTTCATCAGAAGGATTAGATTAAGGATACGTCTGAAACAATGACCGAAGACCAAATAATTCTGTGAAGTTGGAGATCAAACAAATAAAAATGCATCAATGCTATATATTTTGGACAAACTGTTTCAAAGTCAGACTGAATACAACTTTGTTAATAAAATATAAGCTTAACCAGATTTAAATAATATTATATAACATCAACTGAATTCTTAACCAAAATTGTTAGTTTATTGTACCGGCGGCCTGCCAACCAGTATAGTTATTAGTTAATCAAGATTCTAAAATCCATCATTCATAAAATATTATCAATCAAACAAATTTATTCCTAAGTTTAAAGACTCATTTTGATAAACCGAACCTAAGCAGCTCTCTTTTTTCAATACTAGTTTCAAAAACAAAAATAAAAATACTGCCCTTGCAGTATTTGCTCAATTTTGACTAAATATAAAAGTATAAAGACTAAAGAGGCTAATTTCTAAAATAAGCACAGGAAATTTGTAAGATTTCTGGTTTTAGATTTTTAAAATATTTTAGTCAGATCTTTTTAATCGTGAAAAAGCAACTATTTAAAAAATATTTCTGTGCCATATCTCACATTGCGATAGCTTGGACGAAAACTTGAACGGCGAAAGATCAATTTAGAAATCCTATCGCGTCGGTCCTCGACAATGAGTGCAATTTATTAATTTAATCTATTACATACTTTATATCATGAAATCAATCAATTAATAAATAAATTAAACTAATACTCATAAAAACTGTTGATTTTCCCCGATACTACATTGAAAACTGGTCCGTTACATCTAACAAACCAATTTCTTTATATCACTTTACTCGGCAAACCAGTAAAGTGGAGCTGAACACGATAATTTGGACAACAGCCAACACTCTGGCTCGTTACATTAGAGCAGGTCGGCTGAAGAAAGCCAAAACAAAGTCGCCGCCCCCTAAAATAGCCCCCCACACACCACTCAGTTAACAGGCTGCTGGAATACAAAGCCCCACTGCCACCTCTGTTCGGGGATACCAGTACAGTCTCCTACATTCAGGTAGGTGTTATCATGACCAAGACAGAGTCCTCCTGAAGTTGTTATCTCTCCTTTTGTGTTTAGTGTCCAATGCTGGTTTCCTTTTTGGCCATGGCAACTGCCCAGTTGTATTTGGTCACGTGATACAGCGTCCAGACAATTCTCCGCGTTCTGTGACTGTTTGATCTCGTTTGTTCTCTTGTCAAACTGCCAGTACTGAAACAGATAATCTGGTTAATAAATTTACTTCGACTAACAAGGTTTATAAAATCAAGAATATTAGAAATATTAGTTCTCATATGTGTCACGTGTCACGTGACAGTGATCCTGGGTTATGATTGGTTGCTACTGGAAACAAGAATAACCTCCGCACAAATGAAATCTAGTAAATATTAAAGTTTAAATGTTAGATTAACTAACCTGGGAGCCACCCTGACCGTGACAGGAATACATTCCGATTCTAGAGGGAGGACTCCAACCACCTAGATTGTCAACACATCTGTTCTTAGTCCCCATGTTACGAATCTGGGAGTTAGAATCATTATTTAATTATTTCATTATCTCATTATCTCATTATCTTATTATCTCATTATCTCATTATTTCATTATTTCATTATATCTCATTATCACATTCTCATATTAATATCACATTATCTCATTATCTGCTTAAGTACTAACAATTAACATACTTCATGGGAGTGACCATTATCATCTGTTACACTTACAGTGCCAATAATTAGCGTGATTCATAACAGAATCTATCCATAACATATGCATGGCTATTCTAGATATTTATCACAAAGATAAGCGTAAAAAATGAGTAATTTCTCCTATATCCTAACCTCTCCATGAGCGATGTAATCTCTGCTGGGAACGTCCATCTCTGGATACACAGTCTCCAGGAACCATCTGCGGGTAAATTAGTTTCACTTTCAATGATAAAAATAGAATCAGATTCACTTTCTGTTTCATTTAATCTAATACTTGCTATCATTTTAGGTAACACCTTTCAAAACGTACTTGAATGATTTGCACTGTAGGCGTTTCCTAAGGTCCACCCTGCTGGAAATATCTCCCATGTCTACAGATCTGGCGGGTGGAGATATCTGGTAGAAGAAATCTTTGTACTCATCTAGCCAGACCTAGAGAGGGTTTTAGTTGAGGATAAACCTACAGATATAACTTATTAGGAAAGTTCAGAACTTTTACTTTATTCTGGTTCTAATGAATTCGATGTTCAAGCGGCGAAATTATTTGAGTAGAGTTAAACTTAAGGATTGACGAAGATTTTATTAAACCAACTTTTTAAAACACGAAACTTAAATTATAGTGCAATTTTAGGGACAGCATTACAACAAAAAATCATTTGCGAAAATTCAAATAAATTTAGCTCCGATTCACAAACCTCGGCAAGTCTCTTAGCGTTTTTAGCCCCCACATCTTTCTTTGAACTGTAGGGAAATGTTTTCCTGTACACGTGAGCAATGGTACTACATGTTGATATCTCGAGTATACCACCACACATCCATATCTGAGGGAGTGTGACGTCATGTGAGGGGATGTGACGTCACGTGAGTTAGTGTGACGTCATGTGACGTCATGTGAGAGTGTGACGTCATGTGAGACAGTGTGACGTCATGTGAGAGAGTAGGACGTCATGTGAAGGAGTGTGACGTCATGTGAGGGAGTTTGACGTCACGTGTGGGAATGTGACGTCACGTGAGGGAGTGTGACTTTTGAGGGAATGTGACGTCACGTGAGGGAGTGTGACGTCACGTGTGAACTACATTAGGTTTCTGTTTAACTTACCCTGAAGGATATTTCAAGGTTCTCAGATCCCCAAACGTCCATTCCCTGATCATATGCACCCAACTCGAAGAAGTATTTCCTATCCATGGCGAACAAACCTCCCGCCATTGTTGGTGACCTGGCGTGGAAGATAATTATCAGAGATAAATAATTAGTTGCGTTAAAAAATACAGAATAATTTTGAAAATTAAAAAAACAACTGTAAGATAAATTCTTGGATTAGCTTTATTTTATTGGCAAACGGATTTATTGCTATAAGTAGTGACTATGTACTTGCCCATACTCCATAGTTTATGAACGAAATGTTACATTCGCTTAGCTGAAAACGATCAAGTGCCCAGGACTAAATAATGGGCCGAATATATGCGTGACCAGTGACCACAAGCGCGAATATATGCGCGGGATGTTTGGATATCCCACGTGATATAGGGTGATATAGCACACTTCTTATAATATGGTCAAATTTGAAATCGATCCTGGGCACAGAAACCAACATTTCCCGCCCTTTCCATCGCCATTTTAATTGTTGTCCCTAGGATACAGACTCTGCAACAATTTCAAGGCCTCATGTAGGGTCCGGGACCCCCTCATGTAGCTTCTTTGGGACATGTGTAGTGGTGCCCAGGTGGTGCCTCTCTCCCGTAACATGATATGTGTTAGTAAGTAAAATATAGTGTTAGGGAACCAATTAGTCCTACCAATGGGTTCATGTTACGTTTAATTTCATGACTGTACGTGTATTCCGTTTGGTAATTTCTAGACTTCTAATTCGTTTACTCATTGCCATGCCGACATTTGTTGTTACTTGTTATGTTTTTGTTTTTTTTGAAAAATAATTTAGACATCGTTCAAAAAATTAAATTATGAACCACACTTGTGACGCAATAATGAGAAATTCCTGTCTAATACCAATTACCAGTATTACTGATCTATAGCGGCTGGTTTTATAATTCCCTCTGTATTTCCCTCTGTAATTCCCTCTGTATTTCCCTCTGTATTTCCCTCTGTATTTCCCTCTGTATTTCCCTCTGTATTTCCATAATTTTTCTACAATTTTTCCACAATTTTTCCATAATTTTTCCATAATTTTTCCATAATTTTTCCATTAGTTTAGATAGTTGTCATCTGGCCAGACATTATGCAACTTATATTGCAATTCCATTAGTTTTATATCAAAAAAATGTCAATTGAATTTTGCGTGGCTAAAATGAAACGCTTGATTCTAATATAGTACTGCAATTTTAACATAAATACAACTTATTTAACATAAATAATGAAAACTGAGCTTCCTTTTTTATAGGGGGAGGGGGGTCATGAGTATTTTTGAGAATTTTTGAATCTGAGAATTTGACCATTTTCGCCGGGAATACTCAAAAATTATTTTTGAATCCGAGAAATTCAGCATGGATGTCTCATTTTCTCAAAAATTATTTATGAATCTGAGAAATTCAGCATGGATTTCTCAAAAATTGTCCATTCCAAAATAGTGCAATGTGGTCCAAAAATACTCAAAATCAATTTTTGAGAATGAGAATTTGGCATTTTCGTCGGGACTCTCAAAAATACTCATGACCAACCCCCGTGAATCGATGAATAATGTTAGCAATTTGAATGCTCCTTATTATTGATTACGAAACATTAAACAATAAAAATGATATTAACACAGATTTCTTTCAGGACCAGCAGCGCTCGATGAACGTCGCAGTTTATGTTTGCACAATAGTGTTAATCTCTGTGGTTTTTGTTGCACTTATACCAATCGTGCTCAAATGTTGTTGTTCATGTTTGATAAAATGTTGCGATGAGGAGGAGAGAAGTGTTTATGAGAACCCTGTAGCTCACAGAACACAGCTCGAACAAGATTCTATCAGATCAAATTCATCACCATCTCAACCACCAGGGAATCCAGACAGAGTTAGACATTTTAATTTGACGACCCCTGGAGAGGATACGACAGATACAACCGGAGTTATTATAACGTCGGGACCCCCCAGGTATCCGTACAGTGCCGCTGAGGTGGCGTCGTGGGAGTCACCCGAAATATCACCTCCACAAGATGCTCTTCCCCCTTCTTATGATGAACTTTTTAAGTCTTGAACTTACGATCTAATCTTGAACTAATCTAGAAACAGTAAATGGTAGCAAAGACAGAAACGTTTTGATAAGTTGCGAGAATACAGACACCTCCACAAGATGCTCCTCCTCCTTCCTATAACAACATTTTCTACGTTGCAGATGGTAGTGATAGTGGGGATGGTCATGGTAGAGATTAATGACTTGGAGGTAAAAGCCGATGTTGACACAGACAAATGTGTTAGACCTTGGGATTCATTAGATATATCATCTCCACCTTCTTATGATGAACTTTCTAATCTTGAACTTCGGTTCTAATCTTAAAAGTAAGTTTTTATGTGATGTTGGAAATCAAAGTGTTTTTTTCTTCAACAAACAGTTTGAACACCGTTCCAGAAAGAATTAAATTCTGAACCATACTCAGGAAATAGTATGCAATTCCTGACTTATCCCAGCAGCCTTACTAAATACAGATCTAGAGCGGCTAGTATGCCATTGTTCTATAATTGTTCTATCAGTAATTCCGATACGGCGATAAAGCCTGATTTTTTCTTACTTTGATATTTGGGACAGAATGGTAACCGGTCATATTATATATTTGGCAAGTTTCCATAAACGATATTTTATGATCGGCGCCGATAATCGCTTATTGAGCGCTTTTTCGGCGCTTTTTTTTTTAAAAACCGTTTACAATCGCTTTTTTTACGATTATAAACGGTTCAAAAAAAATCGCTTATAATCGACTATAATTGGTGTCGTAATTCAAAAAAGCGCTTTTTTGAATTTAAAAGCGCTTATAAGCGCTTTTAAGCGCTTACTAGCGTCGCTGAGCGATTTGAAAGCGGTTTTCCAGTAGGATTGGCGCCAAAAACGGGTGGATAAGCGGTTGGCCGGATAAGCGATTCGTAGGCGCTTTTTTGAACCATTTATAAGCGATTATAAGCGCTTATAATTGGGGTGCAATTTAGCTGTTTGTAAAGCGCAAATAAAGCGCTTATAAGCGCTTTTAAAATTGAGTCAGGAAAACGCTATATTACATCTTATAACCGCTTATAATCGATTATAAGCGTTTTTTTAGAAATCGCTTATAACGGCTAATTCATCGCTATTTCACCGCTTTTACCGCTTTTCCTATCATCCATGGCCAGGTGAGCAGGAATTAAAAAGCGCTTATAAGCGCTTTTTCGATGCTGCCCCTAGCCTGGTCGGAACGGGGTAGTGCCCAGAATTTAAAAGCGCTTATAAGCGATTTCTCAATTCACCTTAACCTGGTTAGAACTTTCATGTGCTTTTCTGAGCAACCTGGGGTGCACCGGCAGAGTCAGGATTTAAAAGCGCTTATAGGCGCTTATGATCGCTTTTCTACCACTTTTCCTATCACCCATGGCATGGGTTGGCAAGAATTATAAAGCGCTTATAAGCGTTTTTCAATGCTGCCCCTTACCTGGTCGGAACGGGGGAGTGCCCGGAATAAAAAAGCGCTCATAAGCGCTTTTTAAATGCTGCCCCTAACCTGGTAGGAACTGGAAATCAGAGTGCCCGCTTATAAGTGCTTTTCTGAGAAACCTGGGGTGCACCGGCAGAGTCAGGATTAAAAAGCGCTTATGATCGCTTTTCTACCGCTTTTCCTATCACCCATGGCCTGGTTGGCAAGAATTATAAAGCGCTTATAAGCGCTTTTTCGATGCTGCCCCTAACCTGGTCGGAACGGGGTAGTGCCCGGAATTTAAAAGCGCTTATAAGCGATTTCTCAATTCCCCTTAACCTGGTCGGAACTTGCATGTGCTTTTCTGAGCAACCTGGGGTGCACCGGCAGAGTCAGGATTTAAAAGCGCTTATAGGCGCTTATGATTGCTTTTCTACCGCTTTTCCCATCACCCATGGCCTGGTTGGCAAGAATTATAAAGCGCTTATAAGCGTTTTTTCAATGCTGCCCCTAACCTGGTCGGAACGGGGGAGTGCCTGGAATTAATATGCGCTTATAAGCGATTTCTGAATTCCCCTTAACCTGGTCGGAACTGGAAATCAGAATGCCCGCTTATAAGTTCTTTTCTGTGCAACCTGGGGTGCACCGGCAGAGTCAGGATTTAAAAAGCGCTTATAGGCGCTTATGATCGCTTTTCTACCGCTTTTCCTATCGCCCATGGCCTGGTTGGCAGGAATTAGAAAGCGCTTATAAGCGCTTTTTCAATGCTGCCACTAACCTGGTCGCAACGGGGGAGTGCCCGGAATTAAAAGGCGCTTATAAGCACTTTTTCAATGCTGCCCCTAACCTGGTCGGAACGGGGGAGTGCCCGGAATTTAAAATCGCTTATAAGCTTATAGTTATAAGCGATTTCTCAATTCCCTTCAACCTGGTCGGAACTGGAGAGTGCCCACTCATATGTGCTTTTCTGAGCAAACTGGGGTGCACCGGCAGAGTCAGGATTTAAAAGCGCTTATAGGCGCTTATGATCGCTTATCTACCGCTTTTCCCATCACCCATGGGCACCTAAGGATTTGAAAAGCGGTTATAAGTTATAAGCGATTACAATCACTTTTTATTGCTGGTTTTTACCGATTTATCTATCATTTATCAACATGGATTTAAACATAGTTGTTTGACTGGCGATCTAGAAGCCAAGCAAGAAGGCTAAGTGCACGGCGCGGCAAAGTTCTCCGACAATAATTGCCAGAAATTGTAAAGCGCTTGCAAGCGTTTATTTATATGTTGTTAATGGTGATGGTTGTCCTGGTGGCGGTCGATGCGCGCTGCGTCATCAGTCATACACACTTCACATTCAGAACTTGCAAAAGAAAAATATTGTATATGAAATTAAATTATTGCGCTGGGCCACGCTCAGTCTGTCAACGAGTATGACAGGCGTCAGGCATGTTCATGTCATTCCAAGGAATCTCTAGCCGGGCTGAGCGAATCACGACGTCTGAAAAAAGTGCGGTGCTCATTGGATTTTAGTGTGTGCGTGACCAGCATTCACGTACTTGTTCATAATCAATCGTGGACATAAAAACAAGTGCACGCTGAGTACCAATAGGAAAAAAAGT